CCTCCCTCCCTCCCTCCCCCCCCCCCCCCCCCCCCCCCCCGGTGGATCCCGGTGCTCTCTGTGCCCCCCCCCCCGCCCCGCGGCCCGAGGCCGTGCGGGGCCGCCCGGCCATGTCCGTGAACATGGAGGAGCTGCGGCACCAGGTGATGATCAACCAGTTCGTGCTGGCGGCCGGCTGCGCCGCCGACCAGGCCAAGCAGCTGCTGCAGGCGGCCCACTGGCAGTTCGAGGTACGGGAACCCCCCCCCCAACCTCCGCACTCCACCGGGACCGAACACCCCCCCTCCTCCTTCAACCGGGGCACCCGCAGAGGCACGGGGCGGGGCGGGCAGGCTCATCCGCGGCCCACCGGCACGCGTGGACGGGCCGCTGCCCCCCCCCCAGCACACACGCGGCGGGGGGGGGGGACGGGACGGGACGGGGACGGGCCCCGAGCTCCCCCGGGGCTGTTTGTACCCCGGCCGTAACCCGAGCGCGGCCCGGGGCCGGCTGTAAACACAGAGTGGGCTGCACCGCGTCCGTAGGGCCCCCGACGTGAGGCGGGGGGGGAATGGCACGATCCCGAGTGCGCCGGGGAAGGGCAGCACCAGCCCCGCGTTAGGCCTGGCGTGGGAGGCAGGGGGGAAGCACCTATGGGTGCAGCCTGTGGTGGTCCCGCCGGGGTGTTGGGTGGGGGGGTGTGCCGGCGGTGGGGCACGGTGCCGTGTGCCCCCGCTATCCGGGTGCTGGAGCTGACAGCGTTGTCCCCACAGACAGCCCTGAGCGCCTTCTTCCAGGAGACCAACATCCCCAGCAGCCACCACCCCCCGCAGATGGTGAGTGGGGCCCGCACCCCATCCCCTCCCGACCCAAACCCGCTCTAACAGCGTCCAACACCCCCCCCCCCCAAAACCCCCTTCCCACCCCTCACCCCAGGACCCCCCACCCGGGGTGCGCGGGGCTCCGGGCTCCCCTGCCAGCCATATTGCTGGGGCCCGGAGCGCGGCGGATGTAAACACGAGCTAAGATGTCTGCCAGGAAGCAGCCTGTCCTGCGAGCATCGCCACGGAGCGGGGCCCCCAGAGCCCTGGGAGCCGGGGGGCGGCCCCGCTGTTGCCCCTCCTTGTCCCCGAGCACCGCTTGACCTTGGCCGAGGGCACGGCCCCCGGCCGGGGCAGGGAGCTGGGCCCCTCCGGGCGGTTTGCGTTGGGTTTGCTTTGGGTTTCCCGATGCCTTTTTCCTGTTGCAGGAACTCGGCGGTTCCTGCAGGAGCGGATCCGGCCTAAGCCGATTTCAACCCCCCCCCGCACCCCTTTTCTCTTTCCATGAGGGAAGCAGCAGCCGGCACCGCCGGCTCTGTCCCTTGGACAAAGCCATTTCAGGGCCCGGCTCCTGCCTAAACCCCTTCTGTCTCCATCCCTGCGCGCTCCTGCTGCCCTGGGCAGCCTGCAGGGGCTCAGCCCATGCAGAACCGTCGTTCCACAGCCCTCCCCTGTGTTTTCACACCACGATTCCCGGCGGGCGCTGCCGGAAGCGGGCTCTAAACCAGCTCTGCCGAAACCCATCCCGGGGCCGAGCGGGTCCCATGGAGCACAGCGGGTGCCCCATTGCCTCCCAGCCTGGCACAGGGGACAGCTCGCCCCATCCCCACAAAGCACCTTTCACCTTCTCCCCAGACACCCCCCTGCAGTTGGGGGGGGTGTTTGGCTGTTTCACCCCCCCCTGCACAGCTCAGGGTACGTGAGGGGCTCCATGGGTGCAGTTCCCATCTCTTTTCCCAGCAGCAGAGGACAAAGCAGTGCTCTGGTGGAGGGGGAGATGTCACCGTCACCCCCAGCACCCCACAGAACCCCCGCAGGATCCAGCTGTGGGGCAGGGACTGATCCTTCACCAGCCAAGCAGCTCCTTTATAGAGCCATAGACTGGGGTGAAGGGACCTTAAAGCTCCTCCAGCTCCAACCCCTGCCACGGGCAGGGACACCTTCCACTAGAGCAGCTTGCTGCACACTTTTCTACATATATATATAACACCCCTATATTCAAGAGTGCTTTGCTGAATTGGTTCCCCATCTGGGGCAGGGGGATGCCTGCCCTTCACTCTCTCTGCTGCAGTGGGGTATGAAGGGGAGTTGGGGGCCTCCTAAACCCCACTGCATCAGCCCCATCCCCACTGCTTCTCTCTGGGGGAGCAGCTGGCACCAGAGCAGTGGCTTCCTCCCCAAACCTGCCTCACTGCAGGGCTTCGAGCATCCAGGATGCTCCAGAATGTCCTTCCCAGCCTGGGCTGCTGGCCCTCCCCAGGCAGTCCTCCCCCCCCTTTTAAGGGAGCCACCAGACCCTTGGGTACCCCAAACTAAGCCAGAGGCAGACTCCGAGCATCCCTAGGGGCTGTGGGGTGCCGGGTGTGGGATGGGTCCCCATGGATGGGGTTGGGCTCCCAGACCAGACCGCTCTGACCCCCCCCTTTCCTCTGCCCCACAGATGTGCACCCCCAGCAACACCCCAGCCACGCCACCCAACTTCCCGGACGCTCTGGCCATGTTCTCCAAGCTGCGGACCTCCGAGAACCTGCAGAGCAGCAACAGCCCCATCACCTCCATGGCCTGCTCCCCCCCGGGCAGCTTCAGCCCCTTCTGGGCCTCCTCGCCCCCCAGCCACCAGCCGGCCTGGCTGCCCCCCTCCTCACCCACCGCCCATGGCCTGCACCACCACCTCCACCACGGGCAGCCCGCCTGGCCCCCCGCGCCCCCTCCCGCTGCCCCTCCACAGAAAGCCGTGGCCACCATGGACGGCCAGAGATAAGACTGGGATGGTGGAGGGGGGGGGCATTGGGAGGGGGGGATGAAGGAAGGGTGGGGGGTCCGGGCCAGGGCGTTGGGAGCGGGGGCTCCCTGAGCAGCGCACTGGAAGCGTTTTCTAGGATTTATTATTATTTGGGGGGGGGGGCACGAGAGCCCCTGCAGGAGGCGCCGGCTGGGCCTTTACACCCCCCCTTTCTTTTTTAAATCTATAGCTATAATATATAAATATATCTAATGTATATAAACCCAGAGAGAAGGAGGCAGCTGCTGGGTGTGCGTGGGGGGGGGGCCCTCTGGCTTCCCCCAGCATCCCTGCAGCAGGGCAGGAGAGGGAAAAGCGGGGGGGGGGAATAACACAAAATCAAGGGATGGAGGTTGCCATGGGGACACGGAGCCATTGCCCCCCCCCCCCCCCCCCCCCCCCCCAGCTCTGGACTCCCTGGGTGCTTCTTGCAGCACCCACAGCAAATGCGCCCCTCCTCTGGCTTCCCAAATCCAGCCTGGCTTCTTGCACAGACCCCCCTGACCCCCCCTCAGGGCCTGGGGTGGGGGGGGGGGGGGATATCAAGGTGAGGTCCCTGCGGGTGCTGTTCATGACCCTTGCCCAGGGAGGGGGCAGCAGGGGAGGTTTTTAGTTTTCAAATCAATCTTGCTTAAAAAAAATACAGAGAAAAGACCCAAAAAAAAAAAAAAAAGGCAAGGCCAGGGTGAAGTTTTCTATTAACTGAAAAATAATAAAAAAAAAGGCAAACAGAAGACATCCCATTTTTAACAGCAGGTGTCCAGCCTGGTCTCTCTGCTGGGAGCACGTCCCAGCAGGGCACTGGGGAAGGGGGTCATGGCGGGGGGGCCCACAGGAGCTGCCATAGCCCCTGGGAGGGTGCACCCTGAGGCAGGGGGAGCAGAGGGAAGGGGAGAGCCTGCAGGCATGGGGGTGTTAAGGTGGGGCCATCACCCACCTGTGCCTCGGCGCCGTGGGATACCTGGCGCTGCTGTGCTCAAGGCCAGGTGATACCTTCAGGTTGTCCCCCACTGCACCTGGGTCAGCAGCCCCCAGTGCCCACCATGGGATGGGCAGAGCCCTGGGGCGGCTCAGCCCTGGGCCCTGACCTCCCAAGCCACGACCTGTATCTCCAGCCTTCAAATCCCAGCCTGGTTTGTGTTGGAAGGGACCTTAAAGCTCATCCAGTTCCAACCCCCTGCAGACTGAACCCATCACCCCTTGTCCCATCACTCCAGTCCCTGATGAAGAGTCCCTCCCCAGCATCCTTGTAGCTCCCTTCAGACACAGGAAGCTTCTCTAAGCTCTCCACAAAGCTTCTCTTCTCCAGGCTCAACAGCCCCAACTTTCTCACCCTGTCTCCATACAGGAGGTGCTCCAGCCCCTCATCATCCTTGTGGCCTCCTCTGGACTTGCTCCAACAGCTCCATGTCCTTCTCATGTTGAGGACACCAGAACTGCACACAGTGCTCCAATGACATCAGTGTCATCAAATGACACTGACGGCGCGCCCAGCCCCTGGTTTGGTGCCTCCATAGCCCAGCTCCATCCCATGGAATAAACCCCCAGCCCCCACTGCCACACCGGCTCACGCCACGACCCACTGGGGCCAGAATCTTCCTAAATGGGAATGCAGCAGCTCCAGAGATGCCAGCAAGGGCTGGGGGGCTCAAGGGCAGCAGCAGAGCAGCCCCCAGGGCACCAGGAGAGCCCCGGGGCAGGACAGACCTGGCACAGCACGACAGGAAACAGGGAGGAAAGGGGGAAAGCTCCCAGCTGGGGCTGCTCACCACGGAGGGACACAGGCAGCACCCGGGGGGAGCTTGTGGCTGGTGCCCCCCCCGCTGGGCCCTGTCCTGCAGGGCAGTCAGTGCTGGGGGTGGGTTAAGCCCATCGACACCTGAGCCCGCCCATGGGTGAGGAGGGGCCTTGGCTGGCTCCGGTTATCCCAGTGCAGGTGGCACTGGGGGCACTCCCAAAGCAGGTTCCAGCTCGCTTTAGGGGAAGGAGGGGAGCGTTCCCCGCGGCCGGGGCAGGTTCTGGTGCTGGGCTCCAGACGGGAAAGCAGCCGGGTCGGTGCCGCCTTCCCAGCCATGGCGGCAGCGCTGCGAGGGGCAGGAGGGTGATGAAGGGGGGCCCCAGGAAGGGAGCAGGAAAGCAGCCGGGTGCTGCTCCCCCCTTGCAGCTTCATTGCCTTGGGCTGGGATTGGCCTTTGGCAGGAGCCAGGTGCTGCTGCTCAGCCCCACGGTGGGGCCGTGGGCTCCCACATGGGGTTCATGCAGGGTGGGGGGTGCCGGGGGCAGCACAGTCTGGGGGGGGCACCAGGGGCTGTTTTCAGCTGCCCCAGTGACACGTGGCTGTGGGCCGAGGGGTGCTGCTGACCCCTCCCTGTGTGTGAGGGGCAGGTCCCGAGCCAGAGTCCCCCCACATGGGCTGAGCATCACCACTGCTGGGTGGCTGCTGGGCCACCGGGGTTCTGGGGTGTCAGCAGGGGCGGACTGGCCTTCTCCTCATCCTCATCCATCTCCTCATCCTCTTGGTTTTCTCCCACCTCTTCCTTGTCCTCCTTTGCTGGGTGATGCAGGGGGCAAAGGCCAAGCTCCCTCCCAGGGTTACCAGCAGCAGCTCCCAAGCCTAGCGCCTCCTGGCTCATCCAGGTTTCCTCTTTCATGCAGGACTGTTCCTCCTTCACCTGAGTGGTCTCCTTGGGAAGATGCTGGTAGAGAGGAGGCTGGCAGGGGTGAGCCCCAGGGAGGGTCCCTGTGGACCAGACCTTGGTCCCTGCCCCAGGAGACACCAGGAAGAGCATGTCCCCGCGCCACTCAGTGCCGTGCAGGATGAGGTCCCTCTCTGGTCCCCACCACTGCTGGGTTTAGCCCTTGGATGAGCCAAGGGGACTTGGGGTGGGAGATGAGGCCCATGAGGTGCTGATGGAGCCTCTCTGCTGCCCAAGGAACAGACGCAGTTCCCAGCTGCAGGTCAGGAGTGGGGAAGGGAAGGATGGAGGTGGTGGGACCGGAGCTCCAGGGCTGTGGAGCCTCCAGCCGGCCGAGCTGAGGGCGCTGGCTCCCTTGGACCCACAGCTCACAGCGTGACAACCCCTGTCAGCACGGGGAGGACCCAGAGCAGCGGTTCAGCCCCGACTCTTCCTCCCCAAAACTCCATCCCTTCCCCAGCGGCAGCGAAGCCCCACGGACCACCGGCTCCTCGGGCTTAAACCAGACCTTGTTCTAAAGGCAGCGCGGCCCTGGGGAAGGGAACTGGGAGAGCCGCTGCCTTGGAGATGCTGCTCTCGTTCGCTGCCTCCTTCTCCAGCGGCCCCACGTCAGCACCCACGGAGTCAACCCAGGAGCCGGGGCCTGCGGCGGCTCCGTGCCTGGCAGCGGCCCCTGCCCTGTCCGTGTCCCCCTGCCGGCTGCTCCCAGCCCGGGGCGGCCGCATTCCCCTGGCGCAGGGCCCCAGGCGGCTGCACAGCGCTGGGGAGGTCACAAGCAGGAGCCCAGGGTCCAGCGCTGCTGCGGCCCACGACAGGAGGGGACCCGGGCTGAGCGGAGAACGGGAGCGGGAGCGGGAGCCCGAGCCCGGCCCCGGCCCTCTGCTCCCCGGGGGTGGCGAGCGCTGCCCCGCCTGCTCCTTATTGGCCACCGCCCGCCGCTCCTCGACGCCGATTGGCAGAGCCCCCCGGCAGGGGGCGGGGCTGCGGAGCACCCCTGGCGCCCCGCGGCCTCCTCCGGTCCCGCAGCTCCTGTCCCGGCCCCGCTCCCGTGCACCGGGCTCTGGCCGGGGGGTGAAGGGATGGGGACACCCGGGCACGGAGCTGCAGGCTCCGGAGCTCCGCAGACACCCCCGGGGCAGCTCACAGCCCTAAAGCGGCACGGTGGGAAGGACCCTGGGCTGAGGATCCATGGCAGTCAAGGCCCTGGCTCCATCGGGCCAGGCAGATGCTGTGTCCATTCCAGCCCCAAGCCACCATCTCCCCCTGACCTTGGGGTACCAGCTTTCCTAAAGCAGGCAGGGATTTGGAGACAGCTCCTGGCTTCACGCCAGCCAACTGCTTCTGGTGTCTAGTGTTCCCTTCAGGAACACTGAGCACAGCTCAGGCTTTGGTGCTGACTACAACCCACAGGGCACGGCTCAACCCTTTGCTCACTTGGGGCTGCGGCTTCAATGCTCTCTACCCAAAGCAAGCCCATAATGGGGTAAGAACAGGCAACAAGCCCTGACGTTGCTGCTGGCAGGTGTGACAAACAACGGGGAGGGAAGAGCAGTGCTGCTCACATCTCCCAGGAGAAAAAGCATGGTCCAATGCTAGCTCAGAGCAAGGGGTTACATGCAGACATCTGCATGGACTCCACACACTCCAATAGATGCATTCCATAACCCTCCCAGCACCAGACTGTGTGCCCGGAACAGGCTGAGGAGCCACACTGCTCCCAGAGCAGAGCTGGGACTTGTTCCTAGTACCTGGAAAACACAGGAAGCCCAGCCCCAGCCTTAAGCCCTCACCCAGCCCTGCTGGAGATGACCCACCTGCTCCGAGCCCCCGTGTCCCCTCCCCAACTCTGAGCCTGGCCACTCTGGTGCTGGGCACACTTGTTTATTGCTGCTGAGGCTGGCCCTGCCCAGGCACTACCTGGCCCTCAGCACCCTGGACCACATTTAGATGGTGGAGGGGAAGAGAAGGATATGGGCAGAAGTTGAAGGGTCTGTTAGTGACAGCAGTGCACTCTGGAAGCAAGGGATTTGTTCCTCAGCAGGCTGGGAAGTGGTACATGTTTTACTGGAGTGTTTGTCTGCCTCAGCAAGGGGAAGATCACAGTTAGGGAATTTATTCTTCCGTCATCCTGCAGACAAAGCCCTTCACAAGCCCCTTGTGCTGCCTTCTCAAGTGTCCCCTCCAGCCAAGGATTAGCGTCACACAAGAAAGGAACAAGCTGTGAGTCCTGCTTCCCTGTGGAAGGGGCTGCAAGCTGCCAAGTGAGCCTGCTTACAGCAACAGCCCCACAGGCCAGGCATAGCGGCTGTTCAGAGGGGATGGGCTGCACAGGAGGCACCAAACCTGAATATCCTCTGCTTGGTAGCAGGGTCAGTGTTAGTGTTTTGGAGAGCAGAGCTGCACTCCCCATCCCCACGAGACTCTGCCACAACTCAGCAGCCCCAAGCAGCTCCAGGAACAGTGCCTGCGGTTGCAGTGCAGACAAGTGTTCAAGCAAGGACCAAGACCCTCATGTGCTTTGCCCCTGCAGAACAAGAATGACCCAAAGCTCACAAAATGCAATGGCTCCAGCCCCTGACTGAAACCCTTCATGCTCCTACAGGAATAAAGTTGTCTTCTGCCTATAACT